CAGGGGGAGGGGGAGGGGGATATTCGGGGTCAGATAGGGTAAATTGCGGACGCGTTGGCCTCACGGGTGTTTGCGGCGTCCGTGGGGGACATCTCCGTCACTGACTGGGTCGTTTGTGGGCCGTCAACCTGCCCCTCCCCCTCCCCCCGCTAATATCCCCTCTCCCTCTTAACTCCCCTTCCCTGTAAAACCCCTGCCCCGCCGGACGCCTTCACAACCCCCAGGCCATTCCCGCGGGACGAGTGAAGGCGATGCAAGAAAACCTGGCCAAGGTCTGGTTCAGGTGAGTGCGTGCGTGAGAGATTGTGAGTGCGGATTACCTCCCTCCCCCCAGTGGTTCGTCTTACCCCCCGTCCCCCGCCATAGGTTGCATTATTGCCTCCCACCCCGGGAGTGGTGTTCGTTTAAAGACATTCGGGGGGATTAGTGGTGACACGTCGTACAAGGCAATACACATTTTGACACGCGTTCCACGCACTACCCTGCCGTACACAAGAACACGGCCATAAGCCAACCCGCATAAACGCGCGCACCCCTGAATTCCTGGAACCTGAACCCGGCCGTACACACACACACACACACAAACGCTCACGTGCCGCCCCCCCCCCTCCCTCCCCCCCGTCTCACACTCATCAGGTATCGCTATTTGGGTGTCAAGATGGCCCAACGAGATGCGGTGGAGGTTGTCAACCGACACCGGGAGATGTACGGCGGTCAGCTGCGACCCAACCCTGGAGTGCAGTACGCGACGAGTCACGTGGACGACGCGTTCTCCACCCTCATGCAGTGGCTGTACGCCAGGATTCCTGAGGTGCACGGGGGCGGGGGTACGGCCTCAAGTTGAAAGGGAAGGAAGGGGAAAATGTTCGGGAATGGTGGTGTATGGGGTGTGTGGTGTTGTTGTCGGGGGAGGACAGAACGGCGGCGAGAGGAAGAGGGGGAGCAGAGGGCAGAGGGCTGCACAGTACGAGTCAAGCTGTTGCCGTACATTCGGATGATGGCTACCTGTGTGGTGAGGTGGGCGACGGAGCACACAATCCAGGTTGCGGCGGGGCGTCCTCGCGCGAGATACGCCTTCACGCGTACTTGTGAATGTATGTATGTATGTAGGTAGGTGCATGAATTTATAAAACTTGATCTGATAAGACGTTTCCCACTTTCAGGCCTTCCTGTGCGAATGATTCACCGGTGCGATCGGCTAATGGTTATGATATGCACTTTGCGTCGCACGAATACACACATACATACACACTTACATACACTTACATACACACACATCACACCATCTTACATGACTGCTGCTGCTCTTCTTCTTCTGATATGTTATCGTGATGGTGGTGGTAGTGGTGGTCGTGGCGGTGCACGGGCTGACGGGTCTCTTCTGCAAGTATAGTTTATTTACTCTACCCGCCTCGTGTATGCTTACTGGTGCTGCTGCTTCGCGTCTGAACACGCCTTTGCTTGTGTACGGACACGTAATTGTACGAAAGACATGTACGGCATGTACGGAATGTCGCAAATTGCATGCAGCAAAAGGCCGACTCCAAAACCTGCAATTAATTTTGCACATGTGGCCCGATGGCTCTACTCTTCGGGAGTCTGGAGCCCACTGTAACAACCACACACACACATGTGCGATGTGCGGTGCGGGCAGCAGGTTTGTCGGAGTTTAGCCGGGACCAGGCTTCTTGGAAGTTATGCGAAATCCGGTGGGGATTTGCCGCTACAACGACGGCAGTGTCGTCTGCTAAAATTTAATGAGCGTCGCTTGGTAATAACCTTGTCGTATACCATAGTACAAGTATTGCCGTACATCCATCCCGGGTGCATGCCGCGTGGACAGTGCGGCAGACCGCAAGTCGGAATGCCCGTGCGGGCAAATGGTAACGCAATTTGGGTGTTTAAGTTATCATACGCCGTCATCTCAGGATACAATTATGAGATACGCGGCAGCTTTTGAGATGAAATTTAGCCCGAGAGGCGTTGATGTGACTTTGACCTCGGTCAATGGAGGCAGCCAAAGTTGTTTGTGCTCATACAAGTTTTGTTGGCTACAGGCGAGATACCTTGCAATAGAGAATGCAATATATTACCAAGAACGCGTTTCAGCCGGGCGAGATATTATGTTTGGTCCGTTACACACACACACACACACACACACACACACACACACACACACACACACACACACACACACACACACACACACACACATGTACACCACACACACACACACACACACACACACACACACACACACACTCTCTTCGCGCTGGGGCCCCGCCCAAAAATGCGATATGTGCCACAGGAGGTCACGAGTGCAAAGTCAGAAGAAATTGATTTATATGCTGATTCATTCATTCATTATTCCTGTGATATCCAATTTTGTTAATGACAACTAGCGATAATAACTTGAACCATTTTCAGAATAAATTGTTTGCTATTCGAGGTACATAGCATGTAGGTGGATCTTCGCGGCGGTTAGAACGCAGTTTCCCGCGGTACAGTGTTCTCCGTCGTTCGCATTGCTCGTGTTCCGTGGATAGCATCTTTGCAGAGTAGTAATAAGTAATATCACGAATACGCGATATTTATTGGAATGACAACTTACAATCCTTCAATTACAGAAAAAAGCAATGGCGGAAGGCTGCAGCCAGCAGCCGCACTTATCAACACTTCATCTCTCCATAACAGCCTCGAAAGTCAACCATTACAGTCAACTGTTCCTCGCAAGTTTACATTTTTATAACCTCGAAGGGCATACGACGTGTGTGAGAAGCAAAAGATACAGCAAAATAGGAATACGGAGAAGAGAGGGATAGTATACAAACGCGCGCCAAAATGAGGCGTACGGCAAGTAACAGTGTACAACGCGGTAAAGCGAGAAAGCCGCGCACCTGCTACTCTGAAGCGCCGAAATCGGCGCAAGGGAGCAAACGGTTGTTGGAGCGTTGTTGTGAATGAATGGTAAACAGACCGACGACAGGATAGGCTCTGCCACGTCAGCAAACATCTGTACACAAGGAAGACATCCTGGAGGAGTACTGTGCACGGGCGACGGCACTTGCTTCTCCCCCCCTCACCGCAAACTGCCAACCTGGCAACTGCGCTGATGACCACCGTGGGACCGTGGTACCGTCCGGGGTGTCTTCGCACAACCCGCCGACACACCTCTAATTTATAAATGGAATCCCCCTCTATATGAGAGGACTTTTGGGGTCGAGAACTGACCCAGGCCGAGGACAACACGCAGCAAACGAAGACATTTGCAACAAACGAAGACATTTGCAACAAACGCACAAAAACTACTTTTCTAATGTCGCGCGTCTGATGTTACTAACTCTACTAAACAATGAACAACGAAAGTCAAGGAGCAATAGATGGTGGTACAGGCGAAGCAATAGATGGTGGTACAGGCGAAAAGCGGCCTCACCAATATAGACAAGTACCGCATGTCGATTCGCCAAAGAATCCATAAACGCGCGCGCGCACGGAATTTCCGTGTGCGCGCGAACAAGGTATTTGCGGCAAACGGAGGCGCAGACGGCGGCAGGAAAGAGTATCGCTTCCATGCAAAGAGGCGCGAAGTTATGAACCTCCGCCTAACATCCACTTCAAATGCAACGTTTTTTTCAATGGTCGCTGCTTTCAATTTCGACGTCTTATCTCTTTCTCTCTCTCCCTCTCTCGCGTCCTCTCTCTTCGTTGCATCCGCCTCATGGAGACGGGAGCTCCCCGCAAAACGCCACAACCAATTTTCAAGATGCTTCAAACCCACATGGAAACAACATGGAAAAGACTGCGCTGTACAAATACGTCGTGCAACGTTTAAAGTACAAAAACTACCGATATGCAATCTTCGCGAGCCGATAATTCTGTGTGCTCCGTAAAACATACTATACTACACAAGCAAGCGGATGCAGGGATGTTCTTTCGATTTGCGTCGCCCAACGATCCCAAAAAGATAATCCCAAAAAACCGCACCTGGTGTGGGACCGCTCATCCGAATAACCCCCACCTAGCACGAATCGCCGAAACACGGGAAATGCCCGACAGCACCTCCACAATGCCAAAAACAGGGAAGCAGCAGCAGCAGCAGCAGCACCACCACCACGTCCCAAAAA